GAAAACAAGATTAGCACCCAAGTTTGACACTCTTTCATAAGGCTCTGCAGACCTGGTTTTGCCAACAGGCCTGGGGAAACCAGAATAGGATGGGACCCATCAAGTGGCTTATTTGACTGATTATTGTCTTCAGGGAAGTGAGGGTTTATTTCTTTTTATTTCTTTATCTCTGTAAGCTGCCTGGAGTCATTAAGAATGAATTAGGCAACCATATAAATTTTCATCCATTCATCCATTCCATTAATTCATAAATAAACCCTTGAATTTGAAGCAGGAACTTGCAATGGAAATTTCTCTTTTTCCACATTATCCATTTGTAGCTAATTTTTAAAATAAAATCATTGTATTATACTATATTACAAAGTTAGTATCCCAGGTGATCACTAAAATCTTTGGACTACTAAATAATATTTTATATTGAAATCTGTGGGTTATAATCTGGTTACATGAACATAGAGAACTTACTTGTTACTTGTTCAGTGTACAAAATACTTTTTTGTGTCATTTTGAAAATACCAACTACAATACTTTGCAATGCAAAGTACAGCCTTGTATTCACCTTGTTGTGAATGTCTACTCCGTGTGTGATTAAATGCATCTTCATATGAGAAGCTCTCAAGTTCCTTAGAACTCATTGTTATATAATTTTTTCCCTATTCAACTTAAAATTGCCTTTCTTTATGGTAATTGTACATGATTTCATATCCTGCATTTAGTAGAACAGACAATAGCTTGTGGTTTTTTTGAGTAACAATTGTCAAGTACTTGATATGTACTGTCATATCTAACATTTAATCCTTTATCAGGATTAAACATACCTAATTCCTTCAATTTATCCTTTGAATGTTTTTTTTTTGTGTGGTACCATCTTTATTAATCTTTGTTCTGAATCTCTTCTATACTTCAAGTTTTAATAGTCATTCTCATTTCAATCCAAATTTTTGAGAGATAGGATTCTTTGTGAGCTGAACATAGCTGTTTTTGTTTGTCACAGCACCAAATCACCATCTTTTTCCTCATCTTCTGGCAAGGAGTACTTTTTTCTCCACTTCTCCGTTCCTTAAGCTTCCAATTTTTTTTCTATCCAGTAAGATTTGTTGTGTCTTCCTATTAAATCTCACGGCCAATTTCTTCCAACAAAATCTGAAAACACAGTATATAAATCCATATATCACTAAACTCTTACCATGACCTTTAACTGGGCAAAAACAGTGTGGTAACTTTTCAGCCAAGGTATTTCAAATGGGCTTGCTTACAGAATGCTTCCAAAATCTGGGAATCGTGACTCCTAAGGGAATGAAAGCTATGGCTGGTTCGGCGCTATTGGCTGCTGCTGCTGTGCTACCAGGTTTTTGCAATCACATCTTTATTTTCAACATTCTGACAATTTCCCACTCACAATCCCTCACTCCTTCCCCCATCTAGCAGCAGCCACTTTCCTGCATATTAGAAAGGAATGGGATGGGAAGGGAAGGGGATAATTCCAAGATTCTAACAAGGGAACCCAGTGCTAAAACCAAAAGAAAGTTGGAAGATGTTCCTGCTGCATTGGTTTTTTTTAAATGTGGCATTTATCTATTTCCTGCTACATTGCTTTTTTGCTAGCCTTTGGTCATTCTGTTTCTGTTTAGTTAAGGAAATATCTCTAAAACAATGACCCCGGGGGCACAGGATGTTTAGTACTTTCCAAATCTCTTGCCATGCACTTATGTTCATGCAACTTTTCTTCAAGCTCGTAAATTCTCATTCTATGTTCTCTTTATAATCTTGAATATCAAAGTATGGTCCCTCATTATTCTACTGCTTAATGAATCTTCTGGACACCAAATTGTTTTTTGCTTAGCAATGCATTATTTTCACATATTTTCACATGCCTCTAATAATTAGGTCACCATAATAAATTCCTGTCCATCTTGCAGTTCCTGCAAGTTTTGTTTCCTCACTGTTAATATAAATGCTTTTGCTTCCTCTTTTCTGTTGGTAGCTTTCCGGTGGACACTTTCATTCTATGTCCTTATTTTGTGACAAAGTGTTTGCTTTCCCTGTTTACTTGTTCTCCACCCAGGCTTTTGTTATCTGGATATCGAACCAGTCTGCAGCTGGTAGTCCTACTGCATTAAGCAAACGTGATTTTTTTAAAAAAATACCATGGTTATTTAACAAGCCATAGTAGGATAACCAGTTCACACATAATTTTAATAAGCCCTCTAATGGTATAGACAGATTTGTGAACAAGCCTTTGTGTTTTTCAGGGTATGAGGTTACAGATTTTAACTATTTAAAAGGTAGTATGTTATTATTTATGTTGTACTTTTTGCGCTTATGTATTTATTTAAATAAATTTATATGGCTGCCCAACTCACAAATACAGCTCATGGCAACTGATAAATAACAAAATAGCTAGTGAATACAACATATACTAGCAGTGTGGTTTCATTTATTCTGACTGTCTCCATGCATGGGAAAACAACTTGGTCTTTAAATCTTTCCAAAAGATGAGCAAAGTTGGGGTCAACCTAGTCTTAAATGGTATGGCATTCCAGAATGCAGGGACAGCTTTGAAAAGATGCTTTAAATTGTTTTATCTATATTTGTATGCAGTATTTTGACATGGGAAGAATGCAAACAGACAGGCAGGTTTTAATCAAATGAAGGCAGGTGGACATAATTAATGTATTATGATTTTTAATGAGTGTTCTTGGACTTTCATAAGAGTTTTTGAAGCTTTATTATTTGTTCCATTTTAAAATATTGCAATATGGATAGTTTTTAATGATATACTAAACTAACCCCACCCACACCCTTCTTCTCTGGGATAGGTACTACAGATTACGTGCTACATAGAACAACTTTCAAATGGCCCATGGTAAGATCGTAATACAGAAAATGTAATACCATACCTGTATCGGATTATACCAGATGAATCTGGAATTTTCTTCTTTTGTAAGAAGAATTATAACCATAGTAGTGCATAGTTTAAAAGTTTGAGGTAGCAAATGTAGCAATCATTAATTGTCATTAAGTCAATTGTTTGAGATGAGACATTTTTGCTGAAAACTGGAGGCAATTTTGGGCAAAAAAAAATACCATAAAATGTGGTGACATGATTGTAGGATGCTGCAAATGGTTGTAAATGTGGCCCAGTTGCCAAGCCCCTGAAATGAAGACACAGGACCGCAGAGAGGGCCCAGCCATTGGAACTTCAGAGCTCAGTCGTAAGTACCTTTGGCGGGTCCATTGTAACTTTGACTGGTTACTAAATATTTTATCCATATTATAGATTACAATCCAATATTATTGTCTCTATATGATAGATTAGAAGCGGGTAAAACTATTTGCTGCTCTATAACATAAGCCTTATTTTACATTTAGCCTCAAAATTTCATTAAAATTTCTACCCTTGATTTATACTTGCAATTGGAGGACAAACTCCTCACTACTGGTTTTCATTATACCACGCCCTTATAACATTGCCTTCATTCCATTTCCATGCTACAACTGAAGCAATTTTAACTATTCCTATTTTAAAATAGTGCTCCCCCTTTTCTCCCAATGCACTTTTTGTCAATGGGGAAATGGCATATCTAGTAATTTTCATCGTTGATGTAATATTGTGAGATGTAAGATCTGCCCAGCTCCTACTGACCAATTTAAGTTTCTGAAGGCACATCCTCTGTTATGATCTCTAAGAATTATCCTCCATAGCCATCTTTGCATGGGCTAGGGAGGGTAAGTAGGTAGGTGGCTTCCACAAAGGAATCTACCTAAGTGATGTCTGCCAGGCTCTTTCTGGTACATTAATAAGGTAATGTAGCCTTCTTATAAATATTGGGTTCATCTTTTTAAAGAGAACTGCACCTGTTTTGTAAATAAGGATTTCATGTCCTGTTGAAAAAGAACTAGATCTATTTTTAAAAAGTAGTGCTTCTTTAAGAAAAGGCTAGTCCTGTGCTGCAGTTTGATATAAACTAGAAGAGACAGACAGGTCCTAACAGTTGTCTGCAACTGGTTCTGCCATAGCAGAGTACATTAGACCTTTTCTGCTATATAAATATGGCTGTATTTTTTTTAAACTTTGGTCTAATTCCTGGTACTGCTCTTTGACAACAATAGCATGCCTTTGCCACATTACCAGATGGAATTTGTTCATTATCAACCACTCTTTCCTACTTACCCCCCACCCTCTTCCATGCCTACAACTTGTTTGCCAGTTATTTGGACAGAGATTTAGCTTTCATAAGAATGCTAGACTCATAACCTGACATAGCATAGGTACAGAACAATAAGGGTCTGCAACCTTTTAATTAGACAACCTGATATGCTACACCAAGCACTTCCCTATAATTGTTCATCTCACATCAGACAGAGTGATTGGTGGCTGTTTTCCTGTTGGCAGGTGATGCATGGTGGAGGACTCCACCAATTCTTTTCTTTAAAGTATTGTACATTCAAACAGTAAGGATAGCAATAGTCATCAGTTCATTACTGTAACAGAACATAGCTAGCAACTGAAGCAGCAAATTTTATGCCAGCATACTTTTCTGTAGAAAAGAAAGAAAAATATCACATTAATGTGGTCATATGACACTTTAATGCTTTATCCTATAAGATTTCAACCAGGGAGCTTCTATCTGACAATATTTCTGACCATTAGGGTATAGCAGTTATTTTGCTGTCAAAATATTTTCTCTTAAATCTCAGTGTACTTGTATATGAGCCTAAGGATTCTTAATATTATGTCTTTCCTTCACATAGTAGTTTGCATTCCAAACCATAGTTTCAGATAATTTTTTGTACAATTTCTTATACTGCCAAGAGATAAAATAAAGCATGAATTTGCTGCATTGTGACACCAATTCTGAAAGGTAGTTCTTCATAGAATGACATCATAATGGTTTAATCTATTTATTGCTGTGCCAGACATCAATAGCTCCATTTGCCACCTTATAAACCACAGGGGTCACCTACAGTTAAAACAGTGAGTTCAATTTTATCATTCCAGTTTATTGTTAGTTAAGTTTAATGCAGAATAAATAGAACACAGGAAAATAGTACATCATAATAAAAAGCTTCTAAGGTAACCTAGATAGGAGTTAAAAACATCCAACAAGATGAAGCCAGTGACCACTCCGATAATGCCAAGAGAACATCTGCTCACAAAGGGGGAAAACAAGTGTCTGATCCAAGAAAGAGAAAGTATGTAAAGGACACTTAACTAACAATCTTCCAGCTCAACTATGAAACGGTGCCAGTGCCCACCAGGGCCGGAAAGACGAACACCTCAAATTTCATGTCTTTCAATCAATTTGAAGGGAGACAAGGGGGTGGGGGGGAGACAAGGTCGGGTCCAAGTCAAGTGATGCCAAGCTCAGGACAATAGCTGGGCCCTGGGAGGGGCGCGCCAGTGTGCCATGTGGCTTTTTTTTCGTGCGGGGTAAAGCCTTTCATTCCGCATTACCGATTCCGGCTGGGCCTGTCCGGCCGGGATAAACCGCTTTTGCAGGGCTGCGCCCGGCTCAGGCGGCTCTCGAGGCTGCGGTGAGTCAGTCGGAGGAAGAAAGGTGAAAAGCAGAGCCGCTTGGCTTGTCTGAGGCAGGCTCGCCCGCTTGCCTGCCTTCCCTCCCTGGCGGAGGCGGGGGCAGCCGTTTGTGTCCGACTCAGACCCCTCCCTCTCTGGCTCGCTCGCTCGGTGTTAGACTCTCCCGGGGACGCCCGGAAACGCGCCTGGGCCCAAAGGCCTCAAGCAAGCCGTCTTTTCCCTCAGCCCTCGCTCCTTGGTGCCCTTGCGGTTAAATGTAGCCCCTCGAACCGGGCGGGGAGGTTTGCAGGAACATGGCGGGTAGGTAGCACCTCCCTTCCACCTCAATTACCCCCCCCGCCCCATCGTCCCGTTGCGAGAGCCCCCTCCCTCGAAACAAATAAGTCCCAAAAGGAAAGGCAGCGGCGCCTTAAGAGACTCCCAAGCAACCCCGATTTGGGTGGGGTATCTGGGGCTTCTCCGCCCGCGTTGCACGGGGTGTGCGCCTGTGCGGAGCAACTATAGTGAAAGTGTGGGGTGTTTTTTTTTTTCCCCTTCTTTTGGGGAAAAAACAACAACTATGCGGCTCGCTCGCGTATCTCAGTCACCGTGAGGTAGGAAGGGCTTGTGGGATTTGTTGGCAGAGGGAGGCGTCCCCCTTCCGTCTCTTCCCTCGGAGTGTGAATGTGAGGAGGGGACGAGGTGTGGGCTCGGGTGCCAAGCGGAGCTCATAACGAGCCTGGGGGTGGGAAGGGCGGCGCGCGGAGTCCCTCGGCGAGAATTCACGTTGTCCTTTGTTTTGTCTTAATCCGCCTGCCCAGATCTGTCGCTGCTCCAGGAGGACGTTCAGGAGGAGATAGACGGATGTGAGTATCCGCCGCTGCCGCCTTCCCCCTTTGCACATGGAAGGCCCTCCCAGCCCGGCTGCTAACTGGGGAGGGCCGGGGGCGGGCCCACTTCCTTCTCACCCGGAAACTCTGGGTATCCCCCGAGTCTTGAAAGAAATGGGGAGAGGGAACCCGTCTCTTTTCAAGCGCGGTTGGTTCCTTGGATGAAATACGGGAGGGGCAGAGGAGTATTGTTGACCTCTCTTAATGTTGTTTCCGTGAATGGAGGGTTTGAAATCGTGAGGGCGGCTCAAGTTGCATTGTGGGAGGAAGTAGCCAAGCTCAGCTGTCCGGGCTGTTTCCCCCATTTGAGGGCATTTAGACGTACTATATGGCTTGCAAAATTATCTGTGGGTGCCTCTACTTCGTAGGCAGGCCGTGAACTGAAAATGGGGAATGCTATGAATTTGATGGGTTGGTTGGGTTAATAAATACTATGGTTGCTACTAGTCTTTTGATGAATGTGATGTGGTGCTTCTGAGCTTCCATTGTACTACTCGTTCCTTTGAAGGGAGTTGTTTATTTCTTGCCACTGAAGTTGGTTTAAAGTGGAAATACAGGAACTGATTTTCTTCCGGGTTATGTTTATATGTTTAATTCATCCCTCGACTGAGGTTGGCTGTATTCGTTTTTGGGCTAGTTGATGCAGTGAAGAATAGTTTACTTTCTATAAATAATTTTTTTTAAAATGCAGTAATGTCTTTGACCTTAAGTAATATTCATCTAAACGGTTTTCTGGATATAATAACTGCTTCTACAGTGCAAACAGAAATAATTCTTTATGTACCCAGAATCTACTCAGGAGAGAGATAGAAAGCTTAGTAACAGAACTGGGGTGGTGCAAAGCAAGGGCTGTACAGAAAAGCGGGGTGTCCAGCAGTTCAAGTAAATATTTATTTGCATTGCATTTATATTTTGCTTCTATTTTAGAAAAAAGTGCAAGTTAATCTCTATTTTAAATAAATTTGATGATGGATTTCTAGTTGGGTGGGGGTAGAAGGGATTTCCTTCTGAGGCTTGCTGCCAATTGGAATTACTATAATTAATACAAGAAATGTATTTACTTAGAAACATAAGTGGTTGTATTTACACTGTCTATAATTTGGCATATTCTGTTAATTCCTGTAAAAGTGCGAGTATCTTTTAAAAAGAAACAAATATGCTAGTAGTCCATGAAACAACTTTGTAGCTTTCCCCAACCTATTTATTTTCATGACATGTTTGGCCAGAGATCATATAATTTTGAGCCAGTACTCAGGATGGTAGCGAATTATGGGAATCACGGTACAATTCATATGAAGGTAATTATTATCAGTCAGGTGTGGAAGATCTGTGAAATATGCCTCAGAGACCTGAACTTTTTAAAGTAAATTTGTGCATTCAGTATTTTGATGAAACTTTTTTTTTTTAAAAGGCTGCCATGCAGGAAGGCTTGTCCATTTGAACAGTATCTGATTCATTTTGAATCTGGCTAACAAAATGTGAAATCTCAGAAGACAAAACAGCAAGATAGTTCTATAGTATTGTGTGTTGTTCAGCCAGTACTCATTTTAATCCCCTCAATTAGCCTTTATTTGTTTTCTGGATAAGTGAACATTTATTTTAAAAAGTAGAAGTTGTAGAAACTTAACATTTTCCCCTCATGTAAGATTGCCTACAAGGAATACAAAGAATTATTGGATATGAAATATAGCAATTAGCTGTGCAGAATATCAATTTTTTAAAAGAATTATTTGTTTTAATGATTGACAGGTACAGGGCTTGGCAAGCATAGATTGAGTACCATATATTGGCCTCCATAGACACGAATGGAAATCCTTGATATAATGGAAAAGTGAACTGACAATGAAAAATCAGAAGTGGTTGTATTTGAATTATATATATTGCCAATAAAGATGTAAAATAGTTTGATACTGTTTATTATAAAATCTTTTTTGAGTGACTCCAATGCCATTGCATGGAGACAAACATGGTGTGTAATTATTTCCTGGCCATTCTTAGATTGAATAAGTGTGTAACAGTTTATCTTGCAAAGTTTCTAATTTGTAAGGGCAATTTTAGGGGAAAGTAAAGTTACTTTCTAATTGTAAACAATGTTTTAGCATTCATCTTGTGCAACTGAATTCAGAGAAATATTTAGAGGATTATTTTGTCTCTTTGCTAACCCATGAAAGTGGCACTTGCTGTATGAGCTTTTATGCCTTTACTTTCTTGATTATTAGAGTTACAGTGCGAAAATTTTATCAAAGAGGACTATCTTTTAATGAGTGCTTGACGTGTTTGAAATCTATATTAGCTTCATTTCCTGTAAAAGTCATCTTTGTGCCAAAGTTCTTCAACTGAGAACACATTATTTCTTGTTCTTACATGTTTTATTCTGAACATTGTACTCTGTGTGTTCCTTGAGTAGTGCAGCTGTCTTGGCCCTCTGTACAGAGGCTATAGAAACATTCATCAAAATACTTTATCTGTACTCAGAGATTTATGGATAAAGGTAGAATCTTTACCTGGCCATAAGTGAGGCAGTAAATGCCAGTAAATTGAATTGCATGTTATAAGTTGATCTCCTACTAGAGACTGGGTATTTTAGCCTAGAATTTAATAAGTAATTTTTTGTGTTCCTAGGTGTGGCTTTTCATGCCTTAGGAAAGAAAAAGGCTAAATTGTTCTTTACTTTTTTATTTGAGAGTTTGTACTCTAAAATTACTTTACACAAAAACAGTGGCCCAATTTCTAATGTCTAAATAGTGTCTAATTAGACTTGGGGTTGTATTCCAGTTAGTAATTTTCCACCTTCTATTCCTCTATTAATAATCAGGATTATCAAGGGCATTTTGGTTTTTGTTAACCTTTTTTTAGTTTGGCTGGCTCTGCCAGTAATTTTCAAACAAACTGGAAAACAATTCTAAGGAAACTGCTGCCACATGGGCTTTTAGCACAATTTCTAATATACATGGTCTATGAGAGGATTAGAGAGATTCTAAAGAAACATATTTTGGATGCAGAATATTTAATTTAGGCAGAATATACAAAAATTCTAAATCCTGAAAACTGATCTCTGTTGGGAACCAGTTTGCTACCTTACCATTGTAACTATGTCAAAATATTAGAAAGTATTTTACAAGGCATTCTTTTTAATGAATACATTTGCCCTTGTGGTTCTGGAACCACTGGAATATTAAAATGATAGGTCATGTTTTCCATTATTACACTTTTTACGGAGACAAACTACATTAATTTTATTTTGTGGTCATTCAGATGATTTTAACATTTGTCAAATAAACAGCTGAATAGGATTTACAACATACCTAATTTTGTATAGTAGTTATAAAGACTAGAAAGAGAACCACTATTATTTGTAAATAGATTACACAACTATTGTGTAGTTCGCATACTGGCAATTCTCCCTCTTGAACCATTCTAAAGTTACTACATTTTCAGCCCAAATTATTAGTAGTTGTTGGATTGGATATATACAATTAATCCATAATTTAGGAACAGAATGAAAAACAATATGCTAAACTATAGCTGAACTTGAATTCTTGAATTTCAAGGTTAATATAATTGCCATTTTGAATGTAATACAGAGGTGGTATTCAGCAGGTTCTGAGCAGTTCTGGAGAACCGGGAGTGGAAATTTTGAGCAGTTCAGAGAACCAGCAAATACCATCTCTAACTGGAGATTTTACACTCTCCTTCCTCTGCCGCGCCCATCAAGCCACCTCACAGAACTGGTAGTAAAAAAATATGAATCCCACCAATGATGTAATAGTATATAAATCTTTGATAGAAATATTGAACTCAATTACCAATACTCAAATGCTAAAAACATAGCTAGCCTTTGAAAGAATTAAAATACTTTTAAAACAGCTAAACTTTTCTAGCTAATTCGTTTATTATAATCCTTGGTTAACATTTTCCCGTTATCCCTAAAATCTTGTGGACTATTATATTGATTCTCCTTTAATAGGTATTGAATGAATAAATTGCACAAAGTTTTCACATTCTTGTTTATGCAAATACCTATGCTACATTTGGAATTACTTCCCATTTTAAAGCTGATACCTCTGTAGTCAAAAATTCAATTTAGTTCCGGAATATAACTCCTGCAATACTCACCTATATTTTTTGAGAAAGAACTACCGTGTTTCTCCAACAATACGCCCCCCCCAATAGGAAGACACAGCATATTTTCTAGGCATATAATGAAATTAAGCCCCTCCCCCCAAATTTAGGCCTAGTTTAAAACATGCAAAATTGGGGGGGAAGTCGGGGGGAACTTGCCATTAGGAATGCCCCACGGGCAGCTACGCCTCACCATCAGCCGCTCCTAACACCATGGGGGAGCACGGAGGGCTCCCTTACCACTCCCTTACCCGGGTCAGCAGGCGGGCAGCGTCGGCGTGGATATCCGGCAGCGTTTCAGCCGCTTCTCAGGCCTCCATAGCTTCCACAGTGGCAGCAGTGGCGGGAACCGTGGAAATTATGGAGGCGGCTCCCCCACCCAAGAAGCGGCTAAAACGTTTCCACAGTTCCCACCGCTGCTGCTGCTGTTATTGGAGATGGCGCTGGCGAGAGAGGGACAGCTGCAGCTTGGCCTGGGCGCTTGGAATGCAGGAAGGGGCTGAGCACCGGGACTTTTGCGAACTTGCAGAGCCCAAGGCTGGAGCACCAAGGATAGCAGCAGCAGAGACGCTCGCTCGGCTCTTCTCACGTGCACCCAGCCGCTCGGGATTAAACCAAAATGCAGCGCGTGGTGCTCCCAGGTACCTCAAAATGTTTTTTTTTCCTGTTGTTACGGGGACGGGGGGAAAGCGGGAGCGACTCAGATGCTGTTGGAGACAGCGCTGGTGCGCGCGGGGGGGGGGAATTAATTCACCCCTGAAAAGACGTCCTAGCCATTCTTTCGGGGCTCAAAAAAAAAAAAGGCCCGGCCTTATTTTGTGAGAAACACGGTATGTCACAAAGGAACATATGCAAAGATGAATATAGGCAAGACTTTCAGAGACACTGCAGCAAGATAATAAAATCTTAAGTACATAAGTATGGTTTCCCCAAAACTGTAGTTAGAAACCTTGCAGTATAAACTACACTAAAATTCTGGGTTATTTCATGCTTTCGTTATAAAAATATTGATTTATTGTCAAGAAATAAGTACTATTTAACATAGTGGTGTGAAATAGAAATTTCCAATGCTTGAAATGAATTTTCATCAGGTTCATCATATCTGTTTAATAACCTAAATTAAACCGAGATATTTGAACAAAAAAATAGTGGTTTAAACGTAGTTTTTAAATAAAAATATTAAATATAATACTGAAATAATAGTGAAAAATAATTAGCTATGTAAAATATGCTTGACTTGCTGTATTCATGTTTACAGTTACCTCAAAAATCCCTTAAAAGTTTCAATCATATTAGCATAAGTTTCAAAACAATTGGCTTTGTAATTTTTCTTAAATATTTTATTTATGTGTTCCATTTTGCTTTAAAGTAGACTTAAATATTTTATAAATCTTTATAAACATAGATATGGAATCGTGCCTACTGTCCCTGTTCTATTGTTTTGTTTTTCTTATAAGTATCTACCTCATGTATTCAAAACTATATCTATTCTTATACCTGTATCTTGTAAGCGATTGACAAATCAAATCAAATGTAAAAAAAATGTAATTTATAATAATGCACAAAAGGCCTAACCTTGCATCAGGAGTCCCATTGTGATGTATCTACCATTAAGTCAGTAACAAAAAACTCATTTACATCTATACTATAGAGCTAAAGTACAAATAAGAAAGCACGTGGAGACAACTGTAATATCTATATGAAAAGAGTTAATATTGGGAATTTCATCTTCCCATTGTTCATTCAAAAAATGCAATAATGGAAATGCTTTTTTTTGGCTTGCTACAAGCATTCCTCTTGCAAGAAGTCTATTAGAAACCTTGTTAGCTTGGTAGTATAATCAAAATGGCAGAAGTGGATTCCACTGATGGCATATACATGAAAGAATCAGAATCAACCACCTTTTTGGAAATAGAGGGTATTTTGTAAGACTTCTCTGTAACTGGATTTTCAAAAATGTTTAAAATTTCTGTAAAATGATGAAATGCTTTAGTTTTAGTTTTACTGTACAGTATGTCATGGCTCGGTATTTTTATAGAAAGTTATGTACAAAAACAAATACAAATTTACACTTTTGATAAAAGGTGTAGGACAATGTGAGAGATGAATGAATTAACAAATGAAACATGGACCAGTATATTTAGTTAGTTTTCCATTGAATATTTCTTAGTTTTAGTTGTGATTTATGCAATATGTAGAAATTGAGAAGCTGATGCTAAGTTTTCTCATATATTCTCCATAGATAAATCTTAAAAGAGTCTATAGATCTCAAAGAATCAGGTAAAATACCTTTATGGCCTCATGTTTAAAACATAATGATATACCACTGATTGACGTAAGTTAATTTCCATTAATGTGAGTCGGGGGTCTGATTTAGTTAATTTATTTTTAATAAAACTTAAGACATGTTAATTTTATACACAGCATTTATATCTGAAAATACCTTTTTTAACATTAGCTCAAAATGACTGAAGCAAAAATACTGATTTAAATGAAATGACTTACAAAATATGCATTTAAACAAATTCAAAGTTTTTATTTAGGATTTGTTTTCATTAATGTTATTGGAAATACTTTAAAATTACAGAACTAGCAGCACCTGATAAATCTGATATGATCTTGAAAAAGCTAAGTAGAATGGGACCCACTGAGTGCTTCAGTAGAAGATAACCAAGATCCATGTCTTTGTAGGCTAGTTTGGGAAGAAGGCAATTGCAAATTGTTTCTGAAAGAAATACCTCGGAAGGGACAATGTCAACCATTTCTGTATCACTGCCAAGAAAAAGTATAGTTTCACTAGGAATCAGTTTAACTTTAAGACCTAACTTTAAAAAAAATACCTGTTTTGAAATACTGTGACTAATAATATACACTAGGTATATATTCATTAGTTTTTAAGAAACAGAAAAATCTAAGCTGGAAGGTTTCAAAAAGGAGAAAATTTCTAATATTGCAAATTTCCCCTCATTAATGGGATGAATCTGTAAAGCATTAGGCATTAGCTTAAAAAGCAAAAAAGTGATTGTGAAGGGCTGCAAGGAATTTTCAAAGCCTTCAACATCCCAGAGAGCAACTGCAAACTCCATTGTGCAAATATGCTTCCATAGCGTTTTAAAATAATGCACATCAAAATAAGTAACCTTAATACTCTGTCCTAATATCATTAGATTTGGCGAGAAAACTGATTACTGAAATTGTTCGCATGTGTAACAACTGTAAAACAAATTCAGTTTTTGGAAAGAGATTGAAAGTACTTTTTAACAATTGTGTGGCTATACTAGGAATGTTCTTTGCAATACTGATCCTCTCTTTTACCAAATTGTATTGTACAGTAGGGACTGTTGGGTATATGGATACACCAACCAGGTTTGGGTTGAATAAATATGTAAACCTAGGATTAAGTGTCTATGTAGCTTTAAACAAGAAACTGCAATGTCATTGTGGGTGCGGTTGCAGGCAGCAATATAGGTAGGAAGGGAAA